GATGCCTTTCTAAAACCAACAGGGAAAAGAAAACAGAGATCAGACTAAACATACCGTAAAAATTGGAAAAAGCAGCATAAAAAGGGTTTTTTTTTACCTAAATCGTGGAAATGTTTCAGAAGAGTTTGTAAAACTAATGTCTTAGTGACCAAGGCGAATGAGATACATTCTGAATAGTTTCTCTACTTGCTTCACTGTATACAAAAGTAGGTCACATTCTTCTCCCTGGAGCAAGTAGTTAGCAAAACATTCTGTTCTATCCCTGGCTTCTTCCTACTGGGATGGAGGGAAAGGAAACAATATTCTTTTGTTGTGGTGCTTTGCTTCTGACTGTTATTCTTCAAAGGAGACCCTGTACCAGTGTCAATTCTGCTTCACAGTCAGGATGAATGATGGAGAGAAGTACGACATAGTGGCTATTGCTTTTCATTTCATTTCATTTTCTTCCAAGCCTTCCTCACCCTTTGTTGTCTATACCTCCTTCATGTCCCACAATACCTAGCCTGCATTTCCAAGTGTATTGAGATTTATTTTATTGTAGCCTAGTAACAAATGTTCAGTTGCTATATCCAAACCAAAGTCATGTTTTGTGAGATGGGTGGCTATACAAATTTGACGAATAAATAAATGTCAGAAGAAATACTCCCTCAGAACATTCATGATTTAAGGACCTCTACAAAAGCACGTTTATATTGAACAAACTTCTGCTTTTTCATCAGTCTAGTGAAAATTTTAAGATTTATAACAATGTGCACAGTAAATGTCTACCCCAAAACAACGTATGTGTGTGTGTTTTTTTTGGGGGGGGGGAAAGAATTTTCTGGGCTTCTGGAAATGCTGGCTTTACTCATCACGATATCTGTCAGAAGGTCATCACTGCGATTCTTGGCAAAGTTTTTGTGCACAGGTTACTTGATTGCCACTTGGCTAAGCCATAGTTGTTCCCTTCAATTTTCTTGAAGCAGTTTTTCAACAATATTTCTTTTTTTCTTTTTAGAATTTTGATTAAAAGTTTCTTGAAAAAAATAGTCTGCAACAGATTTGGAATAATAGGAAGAGGCAATCCATAGTTATTCCATTAGAGCAGTGTTTCCCAACTGTGAGTGTACTTTCCTTGGGTCGATGCAGACAGAATCCAGGGGAGGTGTGAACATTTTGTATTTTTTAATGTGTTTATTAAAAATAAAGTCTCATTTTATTGCTTTCATCGTTTGCGTTTATTTTGTTATTTGGATTTTAAAGGGAAATGTATGTTAAAGTTCACTAAAGGAAAACGTGATGGCAAAATGTTTAGGAATAACTGCATTAGAGGGAAAAAATGTAGGTAGTCATTGACTTACAACCATTCATTTAGGGACATTCAAAGTTAGAAGGGCACTGAAAAAAGTGGCTAATGATTGGTTTTCATACTTACAACCATTGCAGCATTCTCCATAGTCATGTGATCAAAATTCGGGCACTTAGCAACACACATATTTATGACAGTTTCACTGACGGGATCATGTGATCACCTTTTGTAACTTGGCTGGTTTCTGACAAGCAAATGACTCACTTAACAACTCTCTTGCATAGCAACAGAAATGTGAGGCTCAGTTATGGCCATAAGTCAAGGACTACTTGTTGCTAAATACAAAAGTGCAAGAGACTATGTCAAACAATTCTGAGTTGAGAAGAAGGGGAGGAGTCAATAGCCAGAACTATGGCTGAAGGCATATGAGGGTTCAAGCAGTTATCCAAATAGCTGAAATGACTTGAAGAAACCATGTAGGTCAGGCCATTCAACACATTGTTTCAGTATTTGAATTAACTTAGGAAAAACATCTGTACCAGAAACGCCTAATTTCTGCATAAGCATAGCTGGAGGATTGGATTGNCACTCCCACAAAGGAGGCCACGCCCACAGAGGTGGTTCGAACAATTTTTGAAACCCACCCCTGAACTGTATGGTCTAATAAACTAATTAAAAATTGACTAAAAAGTGTAATGGTACATGGGAATGATCTTGGAGACCAGGAGTGGGGGGATATGCAGCTTAGAGAATAGTCAGATAAGGAGCATAACCTGCAGCTGTATAATGAGCAGATCAAGAGGCTCAGGAGGGACCCTCCCTAGGTTATCAGGCTGTAAAGGTGACAGCGGGAGAACTGTATTTTCAGACTTGCAAGATTCATGTAGTTTTTCAATAAAGCAGAATTAGCTCATCAAGCCATGTTTCCTATCTGGTCTTCCTAGTAAAGCTGACAGAAGTGTATTGCAAAGCAAGGCTTGTGGGATTATTTTTCTTTGAAAAGAGAAGTTCCAGCTTTACACACACACACACACACACACACACACACACCCCACATGTTAATACTACATGATGCTCCAGTTGGGGCTTAAGTTTTCTTGTCCATCCTGAAGCATTTCACCATCCTTCGTACTCAAAAGTCAGAAAAACAATCTAGAACAGTCCACCTCATGGAATGTCTGATGATTCATTTTTTCACCTCAGTGCAAACCAGACTGTTGAACTAATTTCTAATAATACATTAACAGTAATGTGCAGTAATGTGCAGAATGGAATGGGGAAAATGTGTCAGTTTGAATTCTAAATTTCCTGAAAAACTCTGGAACATTCTGTTCCTCCCTCAAATTATGTTATTCCAGGGGAAGTCCATGATGTTCTGGAGTTGGTTCATCACAGCCTTGTGGGAGAACAGAACATCCTGAAATTCACTGAAAAGTTTCATTCTTGACTGAACTAATTTTCCACAGCTCTGATATATAAGTTGTTTTGCTTTAATTACAAGGATATTTCACTGTGTTGGTTCAAAAAATCACTTGTGACTTATTTAGATTTGTAGGAAAACCTGAAAAAATCAGCATATTCAATGAATGCCAGGGAGGTGCTGCATTTGTGCAAATTCTAAAGTCTCTCTTAAATATTTTTAAAGCTTACTTAAAATGAAAGAACTAATGCAAGAGACCATTCTGACAGGAACCACTGGATGTATGTATAGGTTATGTGACCCTCCCACGCACCTACATATACAGTGTTAGAAGTTTAAAATGACCCTATCTCTGTGGTTCCTATATATTATGTCAGGCTGATATAGTTTACATATTTGTATTTGAAACATGGAAAATATTTGTACCAACACAAGACCTTTTAAATATATCTATATG